GTGCTCGTCTGTTTATCAATTTGGCAATCGTGTTTGATTGATGTGCACGGTCTCCAGGGGAAAGAGTGGGGCCCAGGGTAACAGCTTGTATCCAGATCCATATATACATCAGTCAGTCACAAATGGGTGAGTGACTCCCAGTGCAATGTGCGCTGATAGGAAAGAGTATCAAGTGCCTGTAGGAAAATAAAAAATACCAAACGCGATGAGTAAATATTTGCAGAGCTGTAATAAATTGCGACAAATGCAAAGTTGAGAATACACGTTGAACTCAATAGATACTTGAATAGAATTCGTTTAACAATAGACCTGAAGATAAGAAGAAGCGGGAATGAGAATGTACAGAGCGTGAGAGGGAGAGAAATAGATGTATAGATAGGTATATATAGAAAGATAGTGAAACAAACAGATTAAATGATAGAGAGAAAGAGAGAGAGAGAGAGAGAGTGAAGAGAAGCGATTCAGTCTGATATTTAAAGAGAAAGAAAAAGAGAGGACAGGCAGAGAGAGAGAGAGAGGGAAATGAAATGAATAGAAAACTGGTAAAAGAGATAAAGTCGATTAGAGAGAGAGAGGAGTAAAGAGAGATTATCTAAGAAGTGTTAAAACGATATTGACGGAGTGGAGAAAAGAAGAAACTTATCAAAATAATAGCTTTAGCTAAGGGAGAGCAATTGTAAGTTAGTTAGTCTTTTAAATAAATACAAGCAGAAAGAAAGAAGCACAAAGAAAGTTGCTGTCTATGATTTCACTTTAATTTGTTGATTGAATTTTGTTTTCCATTTCATTCAATTTCAATATTTTCCCTTTGTGATTACTCACATTGTGATTGATTGCGTTTTCGCAAATTACTATTCAATTGCGAACTTCCAGCTGATTAACACTTCGTTGAGTTTGAATAATAAATACAAAATTGCAGTCGAGAGTTGCGATTCGCAATGCTACACACCCCAACAAAGTTGGGCAATATTTGAGTAACCCAATTGCATACGCTGGGAATTATTTGCGCCGGTGATATGATAAGCTTTCCGATCGACAACTGAACACAATGGCAAGAGCAGGAAAAGCGATCTCAGCGACCAGTTGGACCCGTTCATTTCCTTTCGCTTGCCACGTTGCTGGGAAAACTTTTGCCATGCTCGACTGAGTCGAGCTCGATGGGATGCTAATCCAAAAGGCGGTTTTGCTGTATGCATTAGCAATTAGAGCCTCGAATTCGAGTCGAATTCTGCCCCCTCCTCTTGCTCCACTCTCTCGATTTGCTGTGTGAATTTCAAACTTAAATAAAAACGGCGCAGCAAATTTGCTGTTTGGGCTTTCAGATCAAATCACATGACTTTAATTCAACTTGGCGCGATATAAATATGTATATGTATGTATATATATGTGTGTGTGAGTGAGTTGAGTTGACTAAGACTAGAGTGGCTCCAAATGATTAGACACGCGCGGTCAGAATGACAGGCTCTGCCTCCACCTCGGCGACCTTAGCCTTGAGCTTCTCCTCCACCTGCTTCAGCTTCACAATAGGCTGATCCGCGGCGGTGGTGGTGCTGGTGGTGGTGGTGCTGCTTGGGGTGGTGGTGGTTGTGCTGCTGCTGCTGCTCGACTCGCTTGTGGTTGCCTTCTCTGTGGTGCTAGCCTGCTCGGGCTTGGCACTCGTGCTCGTGCTCGTGCTCGTGCTCGTGCTGGCGCTGGTGCTCTGCGCCTCGACACTCTCCACGGGCGCCGTTGAGGTGATGGAGGTCTTTGTGATGCTGATCTTGGTCTGTTTGCCATCGCTGCTGTCTTTGTTGGCATCCTCGGTGATGGTGGCCGACGTGATCTTGGTGTGGTGCACCTGGAAGGTGGGTATCAGCGGCACAGAGACACCGTTCTGGGGCAGCACAGAGACACGATCGATGATCAGATGGGCGGGTCCGGACTCATCGCTCAGCGGCACCTTCTTTGTGGTCTGCAGCAGAATCTTACGCTCCTGCGAGCCGTCGGCCTCCGCAGGTGCTGCTGTCGTAGACACAGCATCCTCGGAGCGTTTCGAAATGCTGTGCTCATTGCTCTCCAGGGGCTCAATGGCTGCGACTGGCTTCACCTCGACCACCTCGGAGCCTGCGGCGCTGGCGCCATTCAGGCTGAGCGCCGACTGAAACAGACTGTTCTCCAAGCTGCCAATCAGCGTCTGGAACGAGACCTGCTTCAGCTGGCCATCAGCGTTGGACAGCACCTGACGCTTGACCACATCCTGCGGCGTCTCGCGATCCACGGGCGCATTCCTGCCCAAGAACAGATCATTCAGATCAAAGGGCGCGGCACAGCTGCAGCCAAAGGTGACAGCCAGTAGCTATTGAGCGAGACAAGGGGAGCAATAGAAAGCGGGACCATATATTAGCTGAAGATCAGTTGGAAATGGCAGCTGCTACTCACAGTGAAAATCAATGTGCTCTTCATGGCTCAGTGGTTGTTGTTCAATTGAATTTCCGAGTTGTTTTCTCCACAAAGTCCAGATTGATAATAAGTTCGCTGACGAGAAGTGTGCGCGTTTTTAAGCGTAACGCCGGACGACCTAAAAAAAAAAAAGTTTCAGCTAAGCTTTCAGTTAGCACTCTTCAGACGTGGCTCACACAACAGGCGAGATACAGTTTGGTGTGTGTGTGTGTGTGATTTTTTTGTTTTTGTTGAACTGGTTTCGAGAAGAAAAACCTGCGAATTCTCCTTTAATTGCGGTTATTTGTTGTTTTGTTTAATAAATTGAAATATTTGTTCTAGAAGTTCTGTGATATAGACATACATATGTATATACATATACACACACATTCAAGGGAACTCTTTCAAATTAATGGTAATAGATACAACCTTCGGCCAAGAAAGAGAACCAATTCAAGGATTGATCCGAATGTCAGGAAAGACCACCGCACCCAGCTGAAGCTTTCGACTGTTTACTATTTTGTATCGCAGCTAAACTCTGTCGCATAAGCTGCAAATTAATTGAATTAACATTGGTTTGCGATATGATTTTATTGGATTTGTATTCATTTCCAAGAAATCCAATTTAAAACAAATACATATTTATTTATTTTGATTTACGAACAATTTAATACGCTTCAAGCGAAATTTTGTGTCTGACTAATTTTGGCGGAAAACGATACGCAGCTTAAACAGCCTCTCTAATCTGCTGGTCACAATTGTTTACTTAACAGTCGCTACTGAACCTGCTTTCCACTCTGGGATTTGGCAGGGGATTTTCAAGAATTGATTGCCTGTTAAGTGGAACAAAGAGCAATGAACAATTAGAATAAAGTCGGCAGCCGAAAGAGCTCGAAAATTGGAGAAACTGAAGTCAGGCATAGCTCGTGCTATATGGCATGAGCTCATGCCGTGACATCCAATCTATTTTTGCCTATCCACAGAGTTTACAGTTTTTATTTTAAGCTCAAATGATGCGACGTTAATTAATATTGAAAGCCCAACAAAACTGATTGGCTATTAAATGGAACAATGAACAGTTAGAATCAAGTCGAAGCTGAAACCGCTTGAAAGAAACTGAAGTCATCTCTTGCCATATCTCACGCCTTGTCATCCGAACTATTTTCGTATATCCTCAGATTTTATAGCTTTTATTTTAAGCTCAAATATGTGACGTTAATTAATATTAGAAGCCTAACCTAAGCTATTGAATTCCAATGTGCAAATTGATCTATAAAATTTTCCATAAATCTTTCAATTGCTGCTGCCCGAAATTGAAACTCGGAATCGTTGGACTTCAGCTCTAGTTCCTACAGCTCATGAATGCAAATTTCGGGATTCGTCTGGTTTTTTGGGCCTGTGAAGCAGCTCAAAGCAGTTGTGGCCTGCTCAAACAGAAAAGAAGGCGATGCCGGATGGAATCGCAATCTCTAATAATTAAACGTTTTTGTTGAATTAAGAAATTGTCAAATAAAAGCGAAGACTAATTAGGTAAATATTTAAATATTTAAGTCTTACCAAACAGCAGCTGCTAAAAAAAAACTCTCGGAGAATAATTTGGAAAAATTAATAGAAATAAATTATTTGAGTATTGTTAAAAAAAAAAAGAATATTTAAGAATAATTTTGCAAATTAAATTCAAAAAGTAAAATAAAAAATGTTTAAACTTTGAATAACAGCATTTGCCTAAGATTATAGCACATGAAAAATAAATATAAATAAACGAAGAACTTATTGCTGCTTCACACGCTGCGTATGAGTGATTTCCTAATTTAATTTTCAAAATGTTAAAAGTAAATGATTTCAATATATTGCAGTGCTGACTGGCAATAGTTGCTAAATAGTTTATAGTTTTAAGAAGCAATAAATATAGCAAACAATAAGCAGCAATAAACTACGAACTTTCTTCTGCACACACGCTACGTATGAGTGACTTTTACGATGCACTTTAGCCACACACACTGCGTATACGTAATATTGCATGCTGTGTACTCGTTCTTTTAGTTTCAAATCCAGATGAAATTTGCTTTATTTACCTCATCGAATACAAAGTTGTAAACGCCTGCCTGTAAGACAAACACTCACGTCACACGCTGCGAATGCGTAATTTTCTACAATCAGCCAGACAGCGGCGCGTGCAGCGAGCTGACGCACTCGCTGGCAATGTTTGCAATGAACCTATTTTTGGGACTTAGCCAGCGGGTAAACAACCAATTTGACATCAACATAAAACCGTATTGAGCGCGCTTTGCACCAACATGAGATTTGCGTAGACGGCCTCCGCTATTGATATTGATATTCAATATTGAAACGAGCACAATTAATTAGAGCCTGTTGACGGCGCAGCTGGGGGAAGAAGCAGATTAAGACAATAGATGGCCCCGTGCCCTGTGGGCCGGCCGGGCTGCCCAGAGACAGCGAGAGCAGAGACTGCCGAAAGAGGAAAACCTGTCAGCCAATTAACAGGTGGCAATAATTACGCGGAATCGCATCTCGCAATTCGCACCTGAGCAGCGACTATAAAAGCCGATGATCCGCACTAATTAGGCTCAAACTTGCGAAGAACAGGCTAGGGAACAGAGCAACCAACAGCAACAGAAACAGCAACAGTACAGCCTTATTTCGTGAAAGGGCAAACCAATTGAGGAGGCGTTCGAGAGATGAATTCACCACAACATGCGATCCTAGGAGCCGCTGTGCTCGGCATGCTGCTCGCCTTTGGCTGCACGCTGCCCGTGCTGGATGTCAGCTCCGGACTGGACAATGCCACCCTCGAGCAGCTGCAGGCGAATGACAGCGATACGCCCAAGAATCTGTAAGTAGCAAAATCTGTGAATAAATACACTGAGAGAAAGGAAGATGTGAGATAAAAGCTAGGCAAAAGTGACACCGAGACTAAAGTGGTTATGGTATTCCAGTCAACTGAAGTTTACTTTGTTGTGCCCTGAAAGTGAAGTGGATATGAGATTAAGTATGACAAAAACCTTAGTTGAAGTTTACTTTGTTGTAGACTGTGAGAAAAAGTTAAACAAAAGCAAATGCAATTTTAGTTATGTTTTCTAAGCTCTTTACTGAACTTGACTGAACCATAACTTTTCTTGTTTTTGCTTAATCTACTAAGCTTCAGATCTTAAAACATCCTTATTTAGAGAAAAGAAGAGAAAAGATTATTGCTTAAACGTATTCAAATATTTAATAGTACTTTTTTTATAATACCAGATTTTAACTGAATCTAAAGTTCTTTTTAAAAGCAAACTTCCAGTTCAAACAAATGCTGTAGTTAAGCTTTTTAAGTCCTAGTAACTAAACCATTCATCTGATATAATCTTTTCCCTAAGTGTATACCTAAGAGTTTGCCAACTCTCCTCTCCAACTGCAATGTTTTTCTAATTTCTCCACTCACTTTAGGTACGTGGTCAAGGCGGTGGTCTATGAGATCGGCATACTCACCGAGGTGGGCGACAATGACACGGACTTTGAGAGCCAGGAGCGTGTGGATCTGACCTTCTACGATGCGCACACGAATCAGAGTCACATTGATCTGGGCAATATACCGCTGCCCATTCAGACCAATGTCTCCGGCCAGGTGCTAACGGGCATTGCCCCCATCAACATCGGCGCATTCAGCAGTCCCCAGGAGCTGCTCCAGACGCTCCCACTGACGGGCAGCATTGTCAATATAACGCACAGTGACACGGCCTTCTATCAGCTGACCAAGTCGAATGCGAGCGACTTAGAGAAGCCACAAGTGCTCAGCGAGGATGACTTAGCCAAGCTGACGCATGCCTCGGAGCTGTTCCCGCCGAACGGAGCGCTAGGTGGCCTGGGCGGGACAGCCGCCTCCAATGATTTGGACGATAAGTCGGAGGAGGAGTCGCAATAAATCAATTGAAGCTAAACTCCAAATTTGGAATTCTGATACCGAAATAATGCAGTGCGTTGTGCCCCCTATCATAATACCCATATGAAACACATATCACATAAGAAAAAGTATTGTAAACCGTAGTAAATAAGTGTTATTAGCGACAGTGTTAGACAAGACTGCAAGAGATGGAGTCCGTTAGGTAGAACAAGTAGAAAGTACCGCCCTCAGCATTGACTTAGCCATAGTCAAATCATTTTTTGTATACGTAAACATAATAATTAAAGAAAAATGAACAACCAAAATAACAAATTTTATAAGTGCTAGATCAAATGGGTTTTTACTGGTGGGGTGGGCCCCATGTGACTGGTAGCTGCTAAAAGCTTTCCATCCATTCACACTTCTCACCTGAACTTGAATGATTAATACAAAATTTACTGTTTTACTGTTTTCATATAAATGTTCATGTATGTATGTATATATAGAGAGGTAAGCGTTTATGATCTTGACTTATAAACTTTCTTTCCGGTCTAGCACTCCATTCATATCTATAAATCTATATTACTTTTTACATTACAGTCAGTCTAGTCTCATTATTTTGACTGAAGTTTGAACCCGTTTTAGAGGTCATTTTAATTTCGCGCATTCTTGTGAAATAAATGCTCTAATTAAATAACAACCAACAAAGCAAATTGAACTATTCCAAACTGTTCCATGAGTTACAGCTTATTGCACAATTAGCGCAGCGAAACAAAAACTCTACTATCATCTATATAACTATGTATATCCCATGTACGTATGTATGTATATCGATATATATTTATAAAACTCTCAATTCTTAGTTTCATTTTTTTTTTAATAATATTAAATGCCTTTTTTGATCTACCACAACTGCAGCTAGAAAGCCTTAACTCTATAGCTAACCTTAGCTTTATAATACATACTTGCTATATATAGTTACCGCATAGTCCATATATACTCCATTGATATGCCTTTTGAAAAATCAAACGATATTATAGATTTTATATTAACTAGTTTTTAATTTTTCTCATTTTCATTTGTTGGTTTTGTTTGTTTGTTGTTGTTGTTGTGTTTTAGTTTGTTTAACTGTAGTACATGATTTCTTACGTCCTAGTAGATGATATATTTTATATTAATAGATATTGTTATATATATATTTATATAAATATAAGTTTAAACTTGTACACGCAAAATTAAAATTTGTTGAACGTCTCAGATCAGATAAGAGAACCACCCCGAATAGCGAAGTTCCGCCTCGATTTCATTTAAACCCCTCTCCCACGCCCGCTAACCCCCTTTAGAAAGCATTTTCAGCTCCCTCATCATCCATCGTACTTGCCTAGCTCATGTGTTTTACGTAGCTCTCACACGACTTATCGATAACAATGGACGAGTCTATTGTTATCGACTTGCCATTGGCGTGTTCTTGTTGTCTGTGTGTGGGTATGTGCTTGTGTGTGTGTGTGTGTATATTAATATGTACATACTGCAACGCACATTTAGATACTCGAATTCGTATATAGTATAAATAATATTTAGTTTTTAACTAATTTACATAGTCATATAGACGATGCGCTCTAGCGGCTTCTTTTTAAAATATATATATATTTATATGTGTGTGTAGTTGTGTAAATATACGTGTGGGTGTGTGTGTGTGTGTACTTAAAATGTAGGTGTGTGTAAATTATGCATGGTATGATAATTGTGTTTATTAGTAGTAATAGCTACAATTTCAACTTATGTGCACATGCCATATATCAACTAAATCGTAACTAGAATCTGAAATCTGTATCCGTATTTGTATTCTGCATCTGTATCTGCTGTGTGTGTATGTGTGTGTGTATCTGAATAATCATAGTCGTGTGTTTCTGTGTTAAGTGGTAACATTTCTCTTAATGATCGACGTATATTTAGGTTTAGGTTTAGGTTGCTTTGTGGTTTTTTCTAAACGTTTCATTCCGCTCGCTTTATACAGTTCTGGCTTACTAACAAATCATAGATATATTATATTATATATATATAGACGTTCGCGTCGGCGCAGCCTTAAAATCATATAATAACTAATCTTAATGCGCCAGCGGCCAAAATGCTGCAGCAAAAACTATGCGAGATTAGGTTTGTTTGTTTCTTTTTGTTTTTCATTCTTTCTTTTTGGTTGATCCAATGCGCCGTTTAATCTGCAAGTAAGATATATTCATATATATTTATATAAATTAGCTGACAGTTTGTATATATTTCATTTGTCGACTTGCCTATGACATGACTCTCCATATTTGTGATCCGTGGCTTCGATGCGGGCTGTGGTATGATGGTGATCTCATCGTTGATCTTCAGCGGCTTTAGCAATGATTCATTCGCGGCTCCGAGCGCGTTGCGCGCCATGCCACCGGCACCACCAGCACCACCACTGCCACCACTACTGGACTGTGCGCTATTCTTCTTGCTGTCCATTGCCTTTCGGGCCACGGTGCTATGCGCCGTGTACACATGCGTCTCAAACTGTTTGTACATGCCAAAGGTTGCCGTGCAGACGGTGCACTTGTACGATAAATGTGCAGGTTTCAGGGTCATATGATGATCGCGCGATACGTGATTCAGTAGCTTCCATTGGTACATCTATATATATATATGTAGGGGAATGTAATTAGAGATTGTAAATTTGAAAGCTCTTTAGACTTACCCTGCCACAGACGGGACAACGGCCGGCATCTTTGCCCTTGTTAGCCGCCTCCTGCATAGAGCTTGTCACTAAGCCATGTGAGCCCAGCAAATGTCTTTCCAGACCCTGATCCGTAAAGAAACGGAACTGACACTTCTGACAGTTCAACGGTGGACGATTGTAGATCATCTTGGGATGTATCTGCATGGCAAGAGAGTGACCCCATTAGCAACTGATTGAGAAGTAGATAATTATAGTTCAGCGTTTACCTTCACTTTATGCATCCACTGCATGTGATTGCGCAGCTGTTCCAGATCCTTGATATAGCCATCGCATATCTCGCAGATGACAAACTGCGCCTTGTTGTTGCCGCCGCTGGGACTCTGGCCGGGCTTCATGCCAGCCGCCGCCGCTGTCGCTGGCGCCTTGCTGGACGAAGCAGCGGCCGCATTGCTGCCAGCTGCTGTTTGTCGAGGTAGTGGCGTTATTGAGATGCTCGGCTGGCCCGCGATGGGCTTCTTAGACGCTTGCTGTGATTGGACAGACAGACATTGGTTAAATATTGCACGAGGTAAAGCAGATTAGTAAGTGACTAACCTGCACAAGCTGTCCGGCAGCCAGTTGATAGCTGTTGGGCAGCGACAGTGCCGCATTGCCGGCGCCAATGGCACCGCGTACGGGCGCAGGATTCCTAACCATGCTGTTGGCATTGGGCATGACCTTGGGCAGCTGTGGAGCGCGTTGTCTCATCTTGGCGGCATTTTGGGCTGCCAACGCGGCGGCCTGCAAATTGCGCGCCTGTGCGGCTGCCTGTTGCTGTTGTATGGTTGCCAGAGCTGCCTTTTGCGCTGCTGCCTGCGCCGCCATGGCCTGCAAATTTAATATGGAATAGTTAGTTCTTGAGTTCTTGAGGTGGGACAGTTGCTCTATAGCTTACCTGGTAGGCGGTGGCTGTGCCCACCAGTCCGTGGCGTGGCTTGATGCGCGGTATCTTAGCGGGCGCTTCCCAGTCATTGGGCGGCGCCAGATTCAGTTCCGGCCGGAACTTCTTGGCGCAAACCGGCTGATGGCGTGCCAGCTTCGCCTTGCCATTGTCCTCGAAGCCGCAGTTGGGACACGTGTGATAGGGCAGCGGCTTTATCAGACGCGCCTTTATATTGTGCACGGCTTCCATGTGGTAAACGATCTCAGTGGCATTCCGAATCTCAAATGTACAGAAGTTGCACTTGTATAATACGCCATTCATATGCGGCGTCTCGTAGTGGTTCGCCATGGACAACGCTGATTCGGACTTGAAATTACAGAATTCACAGCGTTTCATTGTGAACTTGAAGGGGGCGTTTTTCGTCTTGGAGGCTTGCAGGTTGCCGCTCAACGCATTGATGGCCATCTCAAAGTCCTTGGGATCCCGCGACAGAGATTTGCGCATCTTACGCTTTTGTAATCGCAACAGATCCGACTGCACATACTCCTGCACCAGGCCCACACCAATGTCCATAAAGAACTTGCCCAACGGACTCTCAAAATAGTTCTCCTGGCCAGGTTTTGCGGGTACATTGGAGGCAGCGCCGCCTGAAGCGACGACTGCAGCGGCGGGTTTGATGGCGCTCTTCAGGGCGGAGATATCATCGCTGACCTCCTTGATTAACACCTTGGTGCGCACACCTGACTCGGAGTCATCGTCGTCGTCGTCATCGTCATCCTCATCTGATTGCTCTGACCACGATTCATCATCGCCATTCTTCCGCTTCTTTTTACCCGCTGGAGCATTCGTTGTCGCCGTGCCATCCGCATTCGATTTGTCCTCTTTGTTCTGCTCGGTCATCATGTCAAACTCGTCCACCTTGTCCGCCACGGCCAGGTCCTCGGCCGAGAGCGCATACTTCGTCTCAATGGCCTTGATGACCTCGCGTATATTGTCGTTTGGGGGCTTCTCATAGATGTAGGGCACAATAAACGATGGCGCCTCCAGCACGAACATATCGTCCGTCAAGCCTGGCAACAGATTCGCATTGTTTGTCATGCTGGGCAGCCCGGCAGCAGTCAGCGATAGTGTGGACGGAGTCAGCTGCACTGTGCTGCCCAGTCCGGCTCCCGCAATGCCGGCCATCGGCACCAGTTTCGGTGGCGTATTGCCCAGATTGGTGGCCACTCCGGTAACGGCATTCGTTATGGTCACCGGATAGACAGCACCGCCGACCCCTGCAATAGTTGGCCCCGCCTCGTGTGGCATTAGAGTGCGTGCATCCTTGATGGTCAGCTGTCCCAGGCCAATGCCCATGCCCGCACCCATTCCGGATGGGGTTGAGCTGCGCTGTCGCTTGCTATTCGGATGCAGGTCGTCCATGTCGCTCTTGCGCTTGTTTAGCGCTTGGTCGCTGGGCGAAATACTTGGCGGCGTATCATCCTCTATGACCACACAGTCATCATCATCATCGTCGTCCTGATTGGCTGGTGCTGGCGGTGCTGGCTGTGGTGGTGGCGGCGTTGGCTTCACAACGGCTGGCAACGACTTTTTGCTTTGCGGCGTCATTGGCGTTGCAGCCGTCTGTCCCGTCTCCGAATCCGAATCGGAGGGAATGAGCACTGCATCATCCGAGGAATCAGCGCTGCTTGACG